GTTATGCATAATTTTAAAGATTAATCTAGGGAAAAGCCTTAAAACTTCATTTTAAATCATCATTTTTTTGAAGTATATAATATTTATATACTGCAAATGAAACTCATACACACTCCTCACCTTTGTTGAGGTTGGAACCCTTGACCTGTCGAAAGGCTGGGTTGCATATTTGCAGCTGGGCAAAGGCCCTTTGGTTTAAATCATCATTTTCCCTTGAGATGCATTACAATTGTGGAATATAAAGCATAATGTAAAAATAGATTACAAAGATATGTCATGGTCAAGCCTTTCCCTAAAGCCCATTCCTCGGTATCTCATTGTGATTTTCACTATTATTCAAATAAATTTTTTGGTGGAGACATGGGTTACAAGCAACTCAAGGTTTCCTTGGGTGAATTTGAGTGTACCTTATGACGGCACAACTCTATAGCCTAACTCACCCAAAGCTATATGCTACCAAATAAGTATACCTCCAACCCCCTCTACCACCAAAGAACATAATCTCACGAGAATATTCTAGCAATCTTTAGACTTATCTTCCAAGTCATCATAATTTGCATGATAGACTTATACTAGTTTCTTTTTTCCTTTTTCTTTTTACCTTCAAAACTTGTTAATATGTTTTATTTATGTAATAATAATGAGTTGTATATGACGATGAAATAATTTACATTTCAAAACTTCCCATTTAAAACTATATGATTGAGTATGATAAATATATCGTGGATCCTTAATATGTATACTAATGTGTTACTTATCTACAGGACAATTAGTAGTAGCATCATTGCTAAATCGGGATGTTAAATTGCGCCTATTACTCCGAGATCCAGTGAAAGCTGCTACTCTATTTGGAAAACAAGAAGAGGAGAAATTGCAGGTCTCTTGTTTTAAGTGTTCATCTTGATTCTCTTCCTTTCATTAGTGAGACCAGTTCAGGATATGAAATTTATTTGACAGGGGATTTTGGTAGGTGATGAAAGGGGACACTCGGAACTCAGCGGATCTTGAGCCATCAATGTTTGAGGTTTGTGCTCTCAATTGGTTTATGGTTTTCTTTTTCACGGGTTTGTACTTTGTACTTTGTGCCAATGGGTAATATATATATATGACCTTGAATATTTTGATGCATAGGGTGTCACTCATGTTATTTGCTGCACGGGTACTACAGCCTTCCCATCACGGCGATGGGATGGAGATAACACACCTGAGAGAGTAGGTCTGAATCATACTTGATGGAAATCGGTTGTGAATATTGTTTTATTCACATATATTTGTATATTATGTGTTTACAACTTGAAGGAACAGATGTCACTGCAGTGGAGGTGGAAGATTACCTAGTTATGTGAAATTGGTTCCACTCAAGTCTTGATGTGTTAGAGGCCTCTTGGATAAGTTTTCATATAGCGTACGCAGATAATGGGTTGCCATAACATGTACACATCCAACAAAGTTTGAGAAAACATGTTTCTTTCTATTTTAATAGAAAGAAAAACGTTTTCTTTCAGCGAGTACCTAGGCTTGATACTTGTTAGGAGTTACTTCTTTGACCCAAAAAGAATGCATCGTTTGACTTAACAAATAGTTAAATCAAAAGTCCCCAACTAATGAGTACATACATAAATACCCCTTAGTAACACAAAACTGAGAAAGCTTATGGACAAAAATCAGTTATAAAATATTTTGTCATTGTTAACGGAGAAATCAGTAAATTTGAGAAGGAATCTTTCTAACGAAGGAAGCATTGCATATTTTTCTGACAACCTATATAATTGGAAGTTTTGCATTTTTTTTTGGAATGTAGAGAGTGTTAATCTTGATTTTAGGGTGAAGGACAAATCTTAATAGTATAAAGGGGTATACGCCCTTGGAGTTCCCCCATCCCATCGATCACACGGCCATCATAGGGGAGGTAAATCAGTACGAGTTAACAGTAATTGGAGGTGCCCGAGTTTAAACCCTGGATCTCCTTCGCGAATGCTCATGATCCTACCGCTGAGGCTACACTTGGGGACAAATCTTAATAGTATATCGTATCTCAAGGGATGGTTTGATTTACTCCTCAACTGTGGTTGTTCACATGTCCATATAACTATAATATAAAGCAACTCATCAGGTTTGCTTTGGCTACCAATGCACAGTAGCACATAAGCTTTGGTGTTTAATATGTGTAGCACATAGAACTCGACATAACCTTTTGTCCCATTCTGTTGTAGTTTATGTAAAAGATATTATTTTTTTCTTTTTCAGTTTGATGTGCATTCTAAAGATGAACAACGCTTGTTCTCATTGGTTGCATACACAATCTGTTGACGCAAATAGTTTACCATCCATTTTATTTGGTGGTAAAAAGATTCCTCTTTGTGCTTGGATAAGTGCCTTTTCTGATAACTCGTCATTTTGTGTTTGAAGATTGGGAAGGCGTGAGAAACCTTGTGTCAGCACTGCCACGATCACTGACAAGGCTCATCCTAGTTTCATCGGTAAGAGTAACCAAGTCTAATGAACTACCATGGAGGTATATATATACACCTCTCTTTATCGAGAAGTTAACATTTGTTATAATTTTGACAAATTAAACTGCTCAATTCATTCAACTCTGTTATTTGTTTGCTCTTCTTTCAACCAGTCTCTTGACATCTCTGAACCCAATCCTTTTTTTTCTTCTGAAAATAAGCGTAGTCAAGTACTTGATCACACATATATATAGCGTTGTCATCTGAAGTAGACCAGATGAACACAAAATCCCTATATATAAATCTTTAGTTGTATTTATCTAGATCCACATATCAATAATTCCATAAGCTTGGGCCTCTGCATAAAAACATCCTTCATTGTAGTGGTATTAGGCACAATCAGAGGTTTATTTTTGTGTGGTATTAGGCACAAATGAGGCTTGCTGCCAGTAGAAAGCTAAACCTCTTATTTTCTGATCCTAATTTTACTCTACCCTTTCATATATATCAGCATCATGAACCTTTTTGGTGTTCTCAAATATAAGAAGATGGGGGAGGATTTCGTTCGTAACTCTGGCCTTCCTTATACAATTATAAGGTTTGTGACTCCTAATCCCATTGTGCTTTCAATTATATTACTCGCCCGAGGAATTTGAGATGGTTCACTCTTGTTGTATATGCACATTATACACTTGTGCTATATTATTTTTTGCATTCTAGACCTGGTAGGTTGACAGATGGACCTTATACATCRTATGATCTAAATACTTTGCTCAAAGCTACAGCAGGTGAACGACGAGCCGTCGTAATTGGTCAAGGTACCTAAATTATATCCTTTTTTTTATTAACCTGGATATCCAACCCTCTATGCGAGTCGACTAATCCTGGGGCGACCATCGGAATTATATCCTTCCTAACTACAAAATTGGCCTTTTAGGATCCCAAGGTGTCCTAATAGATTTAAAGGGGTGTTTGATTCATAGATTATGAAGGAATTGGAATGGAAAATTCCTTTGACCAAATTCCAAATCCTGTGTCTGGTTCACATAATCAAAATGGGGGAATCCTTTGAATTCCATTGAATTTCACAAATTAAAGAATTCATCATTCCTTGACATAAGTGAAGGAATTGAACTTCATCTCTTTGCATCCAATTTAACCAACACCGCCCACCCCCAACCACGAGCATGCTACTATTGTCACTGTCACGTCCCACCCCCAACCACGAGCATGCTACTATTGTCACTGTCACGTCCCACCCTCAACCACCCCCATCACCACCACACCACACCACTATTGTCGCGGTTACAAACGCCACCCACCCCACCCCAACACTACCCCAACGCCCAACCCATCACTGACCACCATGCCAGTATTGTCGTTGTCACAAGTAGTGGCGGACCCAAAATTTTGGCCAAGCGGGTGCACCTTTAAAATAGATCAAATGTCGGCAAAGCCATTCAATGTGTTTTAGCCGAATTCCGCCCTTTGGGGGATTTTTTTAAGTTTTTTGATTGATTTCGAGGTATTTTTTAAGTTTTTTTGGTTGATTTCGGGGGACTTTTTTGGTTTCTTTGTTGTT